TGCGTGCATAATGCAACCCCTGCTTCCGCGCCGCTGCTCGCATCGCGGTCGCCGACCCTGAAAACGCCGCCTGAAATTTTCATCCCCGATCCCGGTTACCTCATCGTGTATGTGTATGTTTGTATCCGTGTGTGTGTGTGTATGTATGTGTGAAAGTCTTGTTTGAATGGCACTCCCAGCGGCTTTACTTCTTCTCTTCGTCTGCTGCTTCAGTGAATTGCTGCCGCGAGTTAATAATTAGTTTTCAGCAGCTGGGAAGGTGCTGTGGGACTCGCGGCGCTCGTTTACGTTTAGGCCACAGATTTTTTAATGCCTCAGATTTGTGAATGAGCGCTTGAAGCCAGGTGTTGAAAAACTCAGATTCCTATCTTTTCTCCTTTCTTGATTCAAATATCTGCCAGGGAAATAATTGAACAACAGAAAGCACTGCTCTCCTCTGTTTGCCGAAGACACGGACTGGGTCTTAAACCATTAGTGTATCTTTAGAATCGGAGGAGGGAGAGACAGGCAAAATTTAAGATTCGCTACCAAAATGTTCGTGAATGTTCAGGATGTTAAAATTACAAGTATATTTTTCCGAGTTATTGGAATTTGAAAAAGAAATAAAACAAGCAACAACAACTGAGTAACAAAGACATGACAAGTGGTGAAGGAAATGGAATCCAATTAGTCCATGATGCAGTTGAACCGCAATAACTCAAACCTCAAGCCAAATACTTCCCCGAGTTGACTTTTTTTTTATGTCTCTGTTTGAATTCCCTCAGAAACAATGCATAGAAAACCTCTACAACTTGAAGGCTTTTCCTCTAAAACCTCCATATCTCAAATTTTCTGAGGCATTTTGGCTATAAAAAAAAGAACTGTGTAATTTCTCTTTCCGTGAACTTTTTCAATGCCCAAAATTTTCCTTAACTTTCTGATTAACCTCTTTAATTGAGAAAGTACGTTCAAGTCGTAGAATTTACATAAATATTCTAGCAATAGAGGTACAGAAGATATATAAAAATATGTATAAGATATATAAAATGTACAAAAAGGACGTTAAGAAGATACGAAGGGTGTCGTTTTTTAAGAACAAAGGGATTGAACTTTGGAGGTACTTATTTTTGTAGGTGTTGAGTGAAAAACCGACCAGGGAACTTTAAGCTCAATCTCTCCAACAACTTGTACATGCAGATAAAATAACAAATAGCTGAACATGGTTCATGCCCCTGAATGCTGAGTATTTTAATAATGAGCAATACAATTATGGTGATGGCACATGAAAATGTGACATTTATAAGCATTGCAATTTTAAAAATACTAGATAATACTTGGTGTGGCCATTAGAAGCGTCGGTGCGTTGATCGAATGCAAATTCGTGGCGTTCCAACGACCTCCTGACCTGCTGACCTCACATCGCCTTTGTTAGAAAATGCATCACTTATACCGTATTACTCAAAGAATAATTGATCCAACCAATAAGTTTCCACGATATCACGTGACACGTGACATCATGCCATTCGTTCTTAGAAGGAGTTTAGGAAATGAAAATAAGTAAATAGAACCACGGAATTTGATTTTAAAAAATCCCACGCTGTCGATTATCAATTGTGCGTATCTTAATCGAAAATTCTCTAGTGAAAGAGAGCTGTCAATATAAAAAAAAAACGATTACATCACGTTTTATGCATTTTTCACTGTATTCCGCAGAAAGCCGGAAATCAAAGGTAAGTCGAGTCAAAATGAAAACATGTTTATTTTGTCCCGACGGAGGGAAAACCTCCTTTAAAAAACGAACTAAGGAAAAAAGAGATAAGTTCCTTTTCTTCGCGAACATCGAAACACACATGAAAGCCGGATGGCCAACACAAAAAAGAAACATACCGTAAAATGAAAAAATGTTTCCTCGTTCAAATACGAGAGATTCATCGAGTGCAATCCCGTCATCAACAAAGCTATATTCCAATCGACACATTTTCCTTCATCGTAATTTTTTCATTCATATTTTTCGAAAACCTTCTCTGGTTCCCATCATACGCTGTATCTCATTTGCAACAAACCCTAAACGCGCCGGAAACAAAGTTCATTCAATTGAATCCCAATTTTTCCTGATTTACAACGAGCAAATGACGGATCGTCAGTGAATTCTTTTTT